TCAAATTTTCCGTTAATCATAGTTTCGTTGACTGATATTTTTGTTGTTACTTTTACTCCTCACATCAAATATATTTTTGGAAAATCAACACAAAAATATCTCTCCCTTAATTTTTCAAAAAGTCAATAAGGGAAACCCTTTCAGTGAAGGAGAAAGTATTTTAGTGTAATTGGAAAAATTATTTGACCAATAGTATCATAGTAATCATCAAAGAAGTTTGGTGATGCGGATTGCACGCTTTGTTGATCGAGTTTGTTACGATAAAAGTTCCGTCTTAACAGGGGTTCCAAGGGGGCAGCGCTCCCTTTTGGCGGGGGTTCAGTGCAGCGCCCCCGAGCAGGGCTCAAGGGGGCAGCCCCTACGGTTCCGAGGGGCAGAGCCCGTGGCTGGGGAAGTTTTTTAATTTGGACAAAGTGCTATGTTAAAAATTCATTTAAATTTTTAATCTTCGAATTTTCTTAAAGGACAATTTTGGAAAGGGATAGCACAATTTTCTTAATTTCGCGCAAAGGGACGCGCGTTTTGGACGAGAGACACGACTGCAGCCTTCTTACCTTCCGAAGCTCTATAAATCCCGTTGTTCCTTGGTCGCAAAAGTGAAGTTCGAATATCCAGATCAATTTATACTTGTTCGTGAAAAATTTGAATTTTATCCGATTGATTTTTGGATTGAACAATAAAATAATCAATCTAAAAGCTACAGGACTCTGAAATCAATCCGTGTTATCTTCGTTTATCTCCAACATTTGTTCCATTTCAATTTGCGATTTTCTCCAATGATATTTAAATTAAACAGATTTTCTCTCCGCTGGCGCGGTAGAATAAGTTTAATTTAATTAGAGTTTTTAATGGGTACGTACGGGTAGTGCATGAACCTATATATAATATTGCACTTTTATATATACACATGACACATCACACATGCTTTGTTTGGCCTTTAAACGTTTTTTTGGGGTAGGTGATGACCTTTATACGTAATTTAGTGGGATAATGTTATAAAGAAAGACAAATATAGGTTTTCCTATTTCAAATAAATTCATGACACTTTGGATGGGATCGCGGAGAAAAAGAGAGCGAGAAGAGAGATTTAAGAAAAGTATTTTCTTTATTGAATGAATAATAAACTCATGGGTGATGATTACTATATGTCTATATAGATTGTACTCTGTAGATTTAAAGAATTTAGCTGGTAACTAAATAAACCAAGATACTAATAATCTAATACTAAGTATCATAATACTCTCTAATAATAATATAATTAACTGACCATAAATAATAACCCCCACCTACAATTATTATTATTATTATTATTATAATCCTTTTATAATAATAATATTAATATAATAATACTGCCTCCATTTTTGAAAATTTTTCTCCTTTCTTTTTCATCCGTCCCAAAAGAATTTTCTCATTTCAATTAAAAATTCAATTTTACCCTACTAATTCTTAACATACCTATCACATCACTTCTATATATTCACTATTAATTTACCCTTCAAATCCTACTTTTACTCATCAAATCCAAAAATATTTTTGGAAAAACTCAATACAAAAATATACTCACCTTAAATTCTTTAAAAATCAAAATATCTCACGTTTTTACGGAAGGAGGGAGTAATAAATATAGTCCCGTAATAGTTTAACACAAAGAGTTTAACACTTTCTTTACTGAAGTTATTTTCTAATCATTTTATATGAATTTGGGATGAAAATTAAAAAATAAAATTTGCATACAAGTGGTGATATGACTTTATTTTTTTATTACTCCCTCCGTCTCATAGTATTCGTCCAGTTTGACTTTTTTGAGTCAAACTGAACAAACTTTGTTGGAGTCTATCCCACATCGGAACTTGTAGTGAAAATAAATCGGTATATAAGCTCTTGAGTTGAACTAAGTAATCGATTGGATTCAATCTTTTAATGCGGTTCAACTCAAGTGTCTTATTGACCAATCCAATTGTTCATACCCATCCTAAATTCTATCATGGTATCAGAGCCAGTTTTAGCCCACCTCGTTTGTCAAGGTGTCCGTCTAGACGTTCATTCCTAGCGGCCCGTTAGTCTTTAGCCCAGTTGTCCGTATGGAGGTTGTACCCAACGGCCTGTGGCCTGTTTAACACGATTGCTCGTCTGGAAGTCCATACCCAGCGGCTCGTGGTCCTTTAGGTGTTGGCGCTCATAAAAAAAAAAGTCAAGGGAATGGGAGTTTATTTGCAAGTGGTCAACCGGTTAGATTCAAAATGGTCCGATTGTCCACTTGAGGAGGAGTGTTGGAGTCTATCCCACATCGAAACTTGTAGTGAAAATAAATCGGTATATAAGCGCTCTTGAGTTGAACTAAGTAATCGATTGGATTCAATCTTTTAATGCGGTTCAACTCAAGTGTCTTATTGCCCAATCCAATTGTCCATACCCATCCTAAATTCTATCAAACTTTAATCATCAATTACTCTCAATTTGTATTACATTTTAATACAATAGAATAAATTTTTGAAAGTTTTGAACAAGTTAAATATATTGAAATCATTTTTATACTAATATATATGATAATTTTTACTTAATTAGGGCTCAAATTTTGTCCAATTTAACTCAAAAAAGTCAAAATGGACAAATACATATGACTAACGAAAACTCATAAAAAAAGAAGAATAAAGTTTGAATTTATGAATACTATTATCTCCGTTTTCAAAAACTCTTCCTCTTTCATTTTTTTTTACTTCTAACAAAACACTTCCACCTTCTATATATTAAAAAACCACTTTTACCATTATTTTTTCATACCCTACCTATCACATCATACTTTTTTCTCTAATACTCAATCCATCACATCTTACTTTTACCCATCACATCAAGGGCAAAATTGGAAATCAACTACTCCCTCCGTCCGGAAATATTCTTCCCATTTTCCTTTTTGGTCCGTCCGGAAATAATCTTCCCATTTCCTTTTTTAGTATGCTTTTTAAGCTAAATATCAATAATACTCTTCTATTTTATCACAAATCTTCTTTTTTAATACTTTTTTAATAATAAAAGGAGATTTAAAAGTTTATAGTATGTGCATTTTTGAAAATTTTACATTTTTTTTACTATTCCTTAATAAGTGTGCCAAGTCAACACGGGAAGAACATTTCCGGACGGAGGGAGTACAATTTAATATTTCCTTATTTTTACACAAAGTCAAAATAGGAATACTTTTATAGAACAGATGGAGTAGTAATTAATTTGGGAGTATCAAATTTATCACACCACTAATTACAAAGTGACACGACATCACCAATATGATTGCTACTTTGCTAGTGTTCTCTCCAAGGTGCGAACCAAACTAAACATTATTGTGGTCCTAGCATATATAAATAGCCAGTAAGCCCAAAGTGAATGGTGAAGTTGATGGATGTTTGGCTCATTTTAAGCTGCATTCCAATCTAGTACGTCCACAGTCTCCTATTTAATTACCCCTCCATGTCTCCTCCACCCATCCCATTTTAGTTCATGTTTTCTACCCTTCGGCTGGGTCTGAACGAGTTCTCAGAGATCGGGTTCATCCTTTTTAATTCATGTTTTGCTGATGGTAGCTGTTAGAATATAAATAGTGCGCTCTTCCTGGGCCACAAGCTTGAGCTTTTGGTTGAATTAGTTCATTGACATGGTATCGAAGCCTTGTTGACTAAGAGGTCACGAGTTCGAAACTCAGCGCCACCCAGTTTTGAGAAAAATTAAAGTTTCACGTGCAAGGCTCGAAAAAGACTACGCCTGCACGTGAGGGGGCGTGTTAAAATATAAATAGCTCTTTCTGGGCCACAACCACAAGCTTGAGCTTTTGGTTGAATTGGTTCATTGACAGTAGCAAAGTGATTTACTGCGTGGAGCACACTTTTTATCATTACTTATTTTTGTTAATCGTTTGTTAAAATAAAGTAAAATTGTGCACGTTATAAGCTAAGTATTGTGAAAATGTCCATGCTTACTGTCACATTATCACAATGCAAACTCCTATTTTGGAGATAAAAATATTAATTTCCTATTTTGATATCTTCTCTATGTTGGGAGAAAGACCAAAGTAGGAGTAAAACATTGAAAATATATCAAAATAGGACTTCCATGTTTTTATTCCCCAAATAGGACTTAAAATGCATTTACATTACCAAACATGGTCGTGTACATTACCAAAAAGTATACTAATGTGCACATGTATAGTGCCACATTACCAGTGTGAAGTCTTATTTCGAGAAAAAAACATGAAAGTCCTATTTTGGTACTTTTCTCTATATTTTAGTCCTATTTAGGGTGATTTCTACTCTATGTTTTACTCTTATTTATGGTGATTTCTTAAAATTATACAAATTCAAGTTGAATGGACGCTTGAAGGTTATTTGTTACCACTTGTTTTGTTGAACTTTTGATGTAGTTTTTAATATGTAAGTTTTATTTTTTAATTCTATATCAATATATAAATAAAATAGATTGACAAAACTTGAATTTTTTTTTCGTTTTGCGCAATGAAATGAGTAATTAATTAGGACCAAAGATATTTTTCTCTCCCATCCAAGACCTTTGAATTCTTAGGACCTACCCTAGTACCAATTACTAGGGACTTAGGGAGTACTTCGTATTGTGAAAGGGAGAATTTATTACGGAGTATGATAGTTTTTGTTTTCCAAAGTAAGGTTATTATATACCTTACCTGTCCAAAAGTTATTACTAGCTGACCATACTCCTTGATTTTAATTTTATGAATCGCAATTAGCTAGTGATTACCACTCAATGTGGGTGTTGGTAGCCCTCATGATGTGATTCCATTCTCACATCAGAACAATCAAGTAAACACTACTCTCATATAAAGAAAGACGAATTGAAACTACCTATTCAGTTTAAGGGGCTGTTTGTTTCAGTCTCTTTATGGTTCAGATGTCTGAATGGTTCAGCACTTAATGGTTCAGACTGTTTGTTTCAGCCTCTTAATGGTTCAGATGTCTGAATGGTTAAGAGATTTGCTTCTGAATAGTTAAGTATTATACAGAGTCTGAATGGTTAAGACCTCTTATCTGAATTGATCAGACATTTGCCTCTGAATAGTTAAGCAATATACTAGCTCTTAATGGTTCAGACCTCTTACTGGTTCAGCACTTAATGGTTCAGACCTCTTACTGGTTCAGCACTTACCGATTCAGAAATTGCCAAACAGCCCCTAAGCTTTTGAAGTAAAAAGCAAATGCAAACTTAATATGAAAAAATAGTTAATTTCACCTGATATACTACTCGATTCACTCGGCTCTTTGAAAATCTAACACATCTATCACTAACAACTACTCCATATCATTTTAAATATCCCAAATATTTTTATTTCAAATTTCAAAATCCACACCTTAAATATGGATTGAGTAAATACTAAATACACCACAAAAGAAATACTCCATTATCCCTATATTCATAATTAACTTATCAATATGACTTTTGAATAATATGTTCCCCTTAAGTCATAATTAACTGATCATTATAACTTTTAGAGTATGTTGTGAGTATTGGAAATATGATAAATGAAAGCGATAGATTTGTGGAGATATCAAAAAGCTCCAACTAGGGATAGTTTTCATATCTTCAAATTTGAAAGCTGAAAATATTTTTTTGTTCACCAAACACATCAGAGATATCAAAATTCATAGCGGTTTTCCTCACCAAACAAGTACTTAAATTATATCAAAAGTTAAAGGAATATAAACATAGATAACGCTTAGCTTATATCTATTCAACTTTTAGGGTCTGTTTTGGAATACCGTTAGAGATTAGGATTATCATTTTGGATAAAACTTTAATAATTCAGATTTTACTTTGAAAACGCTAACACTAAACGTTGCCCATAAATAGCTTTTTCAAAATGTTAACGCTAATCTATAACATTATTCTCTAACATGCCTTTAATGTATATTTTGAAATTGATAGTCAATTAATTGGGGATGAGAGTGTCCTCAAGTTAGCAAAAGTCAGAGTTTGTGCCGTCTAATTAATCAATGGCACCACAAATTGTGGCATTATTTTACGCAAATTAAGGGAATAAATGAAATCCGTGTGTTCCCGGAAGGACGGAGCTGCGCTAAGAGGTAACCACCCTCTTGTGCGTCGGAGACATTTGTTTAACGTTGGATTTACTCGCGGGTAGGAATGTGCCAGCTATTAAAGATTCTGCCTTGTCTATAATACTCCCACTGTACTAAAACTATCTTCACAGTTACTATTGACACGGTCAAACTTAAATCACTTTTTTTACCTATTTTTATTAGTTATTTGATAAAATAATATAGCCTTGTCACCTCTTGTTTTGTAGAATTTTTGATGTGGTTTTTAAATATATAAATTTTATTTTTTAATTTTACACCTACAATCAAATAAATTAAATTGAAAATAAAGTCGGTCAAACCTCGTAAACACAAACAGGAAGATAATTTTAGGACGGAGGGAGTAACGGGCAAAATGTTAGATAAAATTAACCACTTGCATATATACTCGTGATTTACTTTATAATCCAAAAGCTTGCACTAATATGTAGGGCTTCATCCCTCTATATAGGCTAGTGGTATTCTTCTTTATTTTCCAATGTGGAAACTCTAACACTCTCCATCAAGTGGTAACTAGTCTCATCTAGTTCGCACTGGACAAACGGGTCTAGCATCTCAATCTTTTATAGCTAGCTCACACAACGAGTGGTGACATCTCAATCTCGTAAAGCCAACTCAACCTAAACCCGGACGGGTAGCTCATTTTGCTAAACTCACGTCCGGACAACTAGAAAGAATCAAACTCGGATTGGACCTACTGTGATACCATGTCAAGAAACGATTCAACCAAAAGCTCAAACTTGTGATTGTGGTCCAGGAAATGTTTTTATATTTCAACTCAAACTTGAGTTTTTGGTTGAAACGGTTCCTTGACATGGTATCGGAGACATTCGTTGATGAGCTAGGGCTCACCGGAGTCGGTGCAGCTGGGGTACGAGTGTCAACTCCAACACGATGAATGAGTTATCCAGCATACGTAGTCTTATGAAGAATTGAAGTAACCGATCAACACTACGGTCAACCTCAAGGCCCAGAAAATAGTTTAGAGGACCCAAATCCTTCATCTTAAATTCCTAGCGCTGCATAGTCTGGATAAATCCTAAATAAGAGTAGAAGAGTCTTTTCGAGCCTTGTACGTGAAACCTTAATTTTTTTAAAAACTGTCTAGTGCTGAGTTTCGAACTCGTAACCTCTTAGTCAACAAGACTCAGATACCATGTCAAGAAACCGACTCAACAAAAAAAAACTCAAACTTTTGATTGTGACCCAGGAAAGATGTTAATATTCTAACGATAACGCTCGGTGATGAAGTCCAAATCACGCCCCATACCACATGCCTTTATAAGGTCAAAACATGTTCACCTTGCATCTACACAATAGTCTCCCAACAATTAATATGGCTCGGTTTTGTCAAACCGTCCAAACAATTCTTAATTTCCACAAGTTTAAGAATATACTCCCTCCCTCCCACTCTTTTTGTCCACTTTCATTTTTGCACACCATCCAATGCACTTCTTTAATCTATTTTATCTTGTAATTTATATATTAAAAAATTATAAAAATTATATATTAATAATCTATATGTTAAGACAAATCAAACAAGATCACACATGACTATTTTTAGACTTACACATTGAGAGAATTTGATGAGTCAAAGTGCTTAGATGAACAGTTCCAAAAGTCAAAACTGGACAAAAAGAGTGGGACGGAGGTAGTAATTCACATAGTGTCTTAATCCAACTCTAAGGTACGTCCTATAAATAAGACACCATTCCCATGCATTCTTTCTATATAGTCACAAAAAGAAAAGAAAAGAAGAGAAAGAGAACAAAAGGAAATTAATATAATGGCAACCACGCCAGGCTTCCTAACTAATTGGCCTTGGACACCCCTTGGATCTTTTAAGGTATGTATAGTAGTCCACTTTATTCTTCTTTGTTTCTACATATCATTCAACATTTTCTTTGTCATTTCACAATATATTTCATTTTGTACTTAATTTCTTTTTTTGTGTGTGGTTTTTGTTTGTAAATATATAAAAAGTATGTGGTTTTGGCTCCATGGGTGGCACATAGTCTCTATTCTTTTGTGACACGCGACGAGAAGGAAAGGGACTATACAAATTTCATGATTTTCCCGTTCCTGCTCTTTCGCTTCTTTCACAACCAGCTTTGGATCAGCTACTCCCGTTACCGAACCGGAAGGGGGAAAAACCGGATCGTCGACAAACCCATCGAGTTCGACCAAGTTGATCGAGAGAGTAATTGGTACGTAAAACTTGTGTCCATATGAATTTGTATTTTTTATCGTCTCAACGTAAACTTTGTGTCATTTGAATTCAGCTGGTAATAATGGTATTTGAATTGAGTGATGAGAATTGGAAACTTTCAATATAATCTAACACCTGTGTTAACAATTTTGTACGTCAAATTGTGCACTTTTCCGGGCGGCAAGTCGCTTAAGGGCATGTTTGGTGAGGAAAACACATAGATTTGATATCTGAGATATCAAATTCCAAAAAAAAATTCTTTGTTGAGGGCCCATTTGGTATACAGAATTGGTGAAATTGGAATTGAATTAGAATTAAGATTTCATGTGATTCAATTCCATAGAATTGAATTCACCAATTTCAATTCATTTTTCGCATTACTAATTCCAAATCCACATTATATTTGTACTACCAAACATCAGAATTGGAATTGAAGTCCTCAATTCCAATTCCATAATTTAAATTCCTTGTACCAAACAGGGCCTGAATTTTAAAAGAAATCCAGAATTAATATCTCCATATATAGAAAACGTGAAAAAATGCCGCTTGAGAATGCCAATTTCAATTACTCAGCGGAGGCTCAATTAATACTCGGTACGTAACTTTGTATGCATGTGTTATCCGCATTATTTTCTTTCTTTGTCTTTTGTACTTTTTAAATTTAAATGTTTTGATTTATTTTTTTTCTTCTCTCCTTTCTTTAAAAAATAATGTTATCCCATTTTTCTCTTCTCAACAATTTTAATCATTTTATTTTCACAACTTAATTTTTTTTAAATATTTTTCAACATTTTTCTTGATCTCTCTAAAGTTAAAATAATTTTTTTTAGATGAAACGAGTATATGCATTTATATCATAGATGATATATTGATTTTTTTAAACATAATTATGTCTGTGATTTAATTTCGTATCTCTTTCTTCAAACACTTTTCATTCAGATTTTCAAACCCATATATTTCTTTCATATTTCACATCTCATATCTTATCATATCTCTCAAACTTACTGAACGGGTCCTAAATTTTTAAGTGCAAACAGAGTAGAATTTTATGGGAGAAATCTTTATTTATATTTATTCTTGTTTCGAAAATATATTAGAAAATTAAATCTCAAAATAGTCTTTCTTTTCTTTTCTTTTTCAAATTGAAATATATTTTCTCCGTCCCAAAAAGTTTGTTCAGATTTTAATTTTTTAGTCAAACTGTTATCCCACTTTGATCATTAATAAATATAGTTTTAAATAAATAACTATTATACAAATTTGATACTACCTCCATCTCAATTTAAATTAGATATTTCGGTTTACAATGATTGACTATAGTATTCAATGCAATTTATTTTAGTATTGGGGTGAAATCAAAAAAATAGAATTTACATATTTAAAAATTACTAGTACATCAGAAGATCTATGAAATAAGATATGACATGACTATATTATTTTATCAAATAAGTAACAAAAATAAGAAAAGTAATTAAAGTTTGACCTGCATAAAACTTAACTTCGGATACATGGGGAGAGAATAAAAACTATATCTTAGAAATTAAAATCAACTCAATTGCTCCCGTATAAGTTAGGACTAAAATATACTTTTTTTTTTCTAATATTCACATTCAAAATTTGTAAAATTTGACCAAAAATATCAGTTTTTTTAGAACGGAGGAAGTATGAAAATTTAATGTAGACGATCATTTGAATTCACATTGGTCATTTAGTCAATATAGTAAAAGGACAACTTACATTAATTACGTACTAGGAAATGGCATTTGTTTCTAAAAGTTGTTGGGACATGCAGGCTAGCTTTCCCCACATTAGATGCCGGAACCAACTCATAGTTGTTACATCTATGTGATAAAATAAAATTAAAAAATTGGAACAAAAATATAATAAGTAAAAATAATAATTAAAAAAACGTGCTTAAATGGGTTTTTAAATATTTGTCCTCTTTTTTTTATTGATTTATACAGGGACGATCAAATAATATTGAGTGGGGTATTCTTTTACGCATTCAACAATGCACTGTCAATAGCTTCACGGTTGCCGGCGTGGCGGACGGACGGCGTGTTGCTAATGGCATTTTTGCACGCCGGCCCGGTGGAGTTCCTCTACTACTGGCTGCACCGGGCGTTGCACCACCACTATCTCTACTCCCGCTACCACTCCCACCACCACTCCTCCATCGTCACCGAGCCCATTACGTGTGAGCCCATTATATATGATGCTCCCTCAGTCCAAAAAAAATCTTCAAGTTCTTCTTCCCGTTGCTAATAATAAGTTATTCTTCATGTTGCCAAAAATGAAAAAGACTATCGAAATCGCCCAGTGTCATAATATGACACGGGGTCAAAAGATTCTCCTATTTCTATAAACCACTATCTCCGTCCCCAAAAATCCCTTTTAAAGTATTTTAAAGAAAGTATATTTCGATATTGACTTTCTAAAAGTGTACTTGGTGTCATGAATGAAACAGTGTTTCGGATGTACGGTGTTTCTCGTGCTACCACATGAATTCTTATTTTTAAGTAACTGAATACTCATTTTCGAGAAAGAGAATACTCAGTTTGGAGTAGCCGAATACTCATTTTCGAGCATAACTGAATTTTATAAAATGAGTATTCAATTACTCAAAAATGAGTATTTAGTTGCTCAAAAAATGAGTGTTGAGTTACTTATAAATGAGTACTCGCTGCAGATGTACGGGAAACATCATACAACAGATTATACGTTATATTTTGCGGAGAGACCGACCTTAACAAAATGAGATTGACTTTTTACAGCGGTGATTCATCCATTCGGAGAGCACATGGCGTATTTCGCATTATTTGCGATTCCAACACTAACGACAGTGTTAACGCGAACAGCATCGATCATAGGCGTGTTTGGATATATCACTTATATTGACCTCATGAATAACATGGGTCATTGCAACTTTGAGCTCATCCCCAAATGGGTCTTTACATTCTTCCCTCCTCTCAAATACCTCATGTACACACCCTCGTAAGTTCATTCTAACTAGAAACGGAGTTTTTTTTCAATTTTTTAAAAAAAGTTTTATATGATTTTTTTTTTATTCTGAGCAACCAAACTGGGATTCTTTGAACAGGTTTCATTCTCTACATCACACCCAGTTTAGAACAAATTATTCATTGTTCATGCCCTTCTATGACTATATCTATGGCACAATGGACAAGTCAACGGACACTTTGTACCAAACGTCCCTCGAGAGGGCAGATGACTCTCCAGATTTGGTCCACTTGACCCATTTTACCAACCCAGAATCCGTATACTTTTTACGGGTCGGGCTTTCGTCTTGGGCCTCCATGCCCCAGAGACACAAGTGGGCTCTTTGGTTCATGTGGCCAGTCACGCTATGGACCATGGTTTTGAACTGCGTCTACGCCCAAACTTTCGTCTTGGAGAGAAATGTTTTGGACAAAATCAAGATACAATCTTGGGTCATACCAAAGTACAAATTTCAGGTATTTTCTTCGACCTTGAAATTCAACCAATTAATAAACGTAAAGATCTTTTTTAGTGGGAGGAAGAGAGAAAGAATATTTATGTGTGTATGTGTATTGGTTTGTAGTACCTCCTGAAATGGCAATCCCAAGCCATAAACAACATGATTGAGGAGGCTGTATTAGAAGCAGATTCAAAAGGTGTCAAGGTTTTAAGCTTAGGTCTTCTAAACCAGGTAAGCCACTTCATCATTTCATGGGTTTTTGGACATTGGGTTTTCAGTGTTCGAACCAGATCGATGAAACCAACGGTCATTGAATTGGTCGAACCGAGCCAATCCGGTTTGGTGTATGAATAAAGTCAGAGGGAAGGAGTGATTAGGTAAATATATGTGTTTGTTTGTTTATACAGAGTGAAGAGCTGAACAAAAATGGAGAGGCTTACATCCAAAAGTACCCAAAGATGAGAGTAAAATTAGTGGATGGAAGCAGTTTGGCAAGTGCAATAGTGGTTAACACAATTCCAAAGGGGACTACAGAGGTTCTCCTTAGGGGAAAACTCACCAAAGTCTCCATCTCCATCGCTTGTGCATTAAGCCAGAAAGGGATCAAGGTAATTTATTTAACTCTAACATTCATCAGTCTACCCTCCCAACTCCCAAGAGTCATGAGAGCTCCACAGACAACAAAATATAATTTTTATAACAAAAATAGCGTACCTAATATAATCCCAGCTCTGTTGTGTATGGAGTAAAAAACGCACGCGGGCAACCACCTTACTCCTGTAAGAAAAAGAGGTCATTTTTTGTTTAGCCTTAATACATAAATACGTTTATTGCACAAAACTTCATAAATAGTAAAGACTAAAAACACTGAATTTTACCAACTTTTACTGTGAAACACACTAAACTGGCAAAACCCCGCAGGACGGGGGCATATTATTATTAAGTTGGAATGACAAATCAAGTCTTCTGGAAAATGAAGGAAAGACAGATAATTTGAATATAGGTGTCAACAGAACTTAATTCATTATCTCATTTCAGGTGGTTACTTCCTCTGAAAATGATTATGAGAAGCTTAAGCTCGCTGCTAAATCCCAAAGCAACTTTGTCTTGTCCAAGAGTTTGACACAAAAGGTAATTAAAAGTTAATAAAGTTTTAGTTAATTTCAATTATAATTAGAAATAAGGATTAATTAAATGAAACAAGGATTTAACAGGTATGGTTAGTTGGAGATGAATTGACAAAAGAGGAACAGAAGATGGCAAAAAAGGGGACACTGTTCATCCCCTTCTCCCAAATACCTCCCAAGAAATTCCGCCTTCATGACTGCTTCTACCATTACACCCCAGCAATGTTGGCCCCACCATCCCTCCACAACTTGCATGCCTGCGAGGTTTGTACCTATACACATTATTACACTTGTCAATCTTTGGTCTAAAGAAAATGAAAAATGTATGGATGAAATGTATCTAATAGAGAGAAAAAAGTTTAAGTGTTAAGTGTTTTTGGGACATCAAAATAAGAAAAGTGTGAAATTGTTTTGGGTACAAAAGGAAGCATAAACTTACCTGAACTAGTTTGTGCTTTAACTTGATGAGTTGGTTCATTGATATGATATCACAACCTTGTTGACCTAAAGGTCACAATTTTGAATTTCATTGTCTCCCATAATTAAATAATAATAATAATAATAATAATTAGAAGAATAATAAAAATAAAAATAAAATAATAATAATAATAATATAATAATATTCACCTGCAAAGCGACTTCCGATCCATCATCATCCGTATCATCGCATGTATATATGTATGTGTGCATAGAATTGGCTGCCGAGGAGGGCAATGAGCGCAGCAAGGGCGGGTGGGGTCGTGCATGCCTTGGAAGGATGGAACGTGCACGAGTGTGGCTGCGACACAGAGATGATCACAGTGGATGACATTGACAAAGTCTGGAGAGCTGCCCTTAGCCATGGTTTCCGCCCACTCCCATTACAGGCACATCATTGAAGGATGAGTTTTTTTTTCGCCTTAATTTCCTCCAAGTGCCTTATTATCCATGGATGTTGTATGGACTGGTACTTTTTTTCTTCTCTGGATTGTGTCAAAAGTTTTAAATATGTTAATGGTCAGCATTGTATATGCATATGATGATGACATTGTTGTGCACCACAACATATGATATTGAAATGTTATCTCACTTCTTATGTTTTACACTAATGTTAGAACTCAGTTCACTCCAATAAGGTAAGTGTCTAGCTAGTTTTGGAGGACCTTGATAATGGGGTTCATCGTTTTCTTAACACTGTCTTTCGTTCGTGGATTTTTGGGAGAGAAAGAAAAAGAAAATAGGAGGAAACCTTCTTTTCTTTATTTGGTTAGAAAGGAAAAGAAAAGAAAAGTGGAAAGAAAAGAAAATGAGAAAGGAAAATGTACTAAGAGGAAGGAAAATCATATTCCTCCCATTTTGGTGAAGAAAATGAGAGAAAACCATTTTCTTTTCTTTTCCTTCCAAATTCCTTGAAACAAACATAGTGTAAATGTGTTACTTGTGGGAGAAATATGAACTATGGGCATAAGAATTACGAGTTGCTTTTACAAAAATGAGAGAACCATCCTTTGGAGTCAATACATCAACAAAACTACATTGTTTTGAAAACAAAGTTTAGTTTAATTTTTTGATAGAATAAAATGAAGAGTATCAATCAACCAGTAGATATTTTATAAACACTATGCCAACACATCATCATAAAATATGTGCATCAACAACCCAACAAAATCCCGCAACTACAGGGTCGGAACAATATAGAGAAGTTGTATCCATTAGACCCTTGATGCAGAGTTGCATTTACTGCCCACAACTTCATTGGGAGTAAGAAGCAAAAGAATTTTGATGCGTCATTTTGATCTAGTCCATTATTTACTCGAAGCTAAAGCATTGTCAATTATGACTCTTTTAGCTCCATTGCCAATGGACATTTTAAAACGCATGTTTCCAATGCTTGCTTCACTAGTTGGCACCATTTAGTGACAAGCAGAGGTTTCACGAAGCAAGGACGGAGAAAGTAGACGATAATTCGTGCTCAAATCAAATACAAGGGGTAGAAGAAATAAATGCACGAGAAATTTATAGACTATAGAGGCGATGATAACAATACATCATATTTCTCTTAGTTTGCCAAAGTACTCCGTATAGCAAACAGGCAACAGCCTCACTCAGACTTCAACATGGTTTAACTACATCAAGTGTAAAAAAAAAGATTAAAATGAAAGGAATTATTGTTATTATTCCTAAATATAACCTTTCTCTATAACAGAACAAGAACCAAATCAACTTCCTCATCCGATGCCACATTGAATTATAGCACTTCGGTACAAATGCACTCCTTAAACTGCAATCTGCAACACGTGGTAAAATCTGCCACAGCTATAAAGACGGAAGGTAAAAAAACAAACAAGTGAAACAACAAATAGAGCAAATCAACAAAGGGAAAAGACACAAATCGTGATGCTGATGATAATCATTAACTTCAACTCCCAACCTTTCATATTAATAGGTAGACAAGAAATAAGTGTTCTACCAAAACCTAGATTTTAGGAGGTGGTCACAAAAACCTAGATATACTCATATACTGGATTTGGCTTGGCTTGGACAGAAGCAATCTTAGCAGTTATTTAATTTTTGGGTTCTCATATCAGGAAAGGGTTGATTTATAGAGTGACAAGTTACTGTTTGGAGCACCGTGATGCTAGCACCTACTTAACTCATACTGTGAGCATAATATGTTACTTACTGAGTACAATCAGAGAGTATAAACTAAGAGGTAGTGGGCAATGGCACTACATGTTAGTGGAGTGACAGGATAAATTAATTTCAACATGGGCAAAGGCAAAAAAAAGTACATCATATAAAAAGAAAAATGTCAAAGATGAAAACAGGCTATAAGTTGTTTTATGAAACCAAGTACGGAAAGAACTGGTCCGAAACTTGAGCACCCGGTCAAGTCTCATAAGCTGCATCACATAAACCACCTGAATACCCTGGCATCCTCAGTTCTAAGAGCAACCAGTAACAATGTTTTACCTTTGCATCAGATGGGGCAAACACAGCTTTAACCTCTTCAAAAACTTCACCAACAGGCTTGGAAGCATCAATCTGAAAGGCATCACAAGATATTAGAATGGTGTCTTTCAAAGAAAGGGTGAAACTTTAAGTCAGATGTGAAGATAGTACCCTCTGAACCTTGCCCTTAGACTTGTAGTATTCAATAACAGGGAGACTGGACTCCATGTAAACATTAAATCGCTTTCTAATTGTGTCTATATTGTCATCTTCTCTTCCCTTCAAGTCAGAAAATATAAAAATCACGCAATCATAAAAGTGAAACAAAAAAAAGCATATCACATATACACAGACCAGAAACCTCTAATTACTATATACTCCATATATAAAAGACCTGATTACGGCTCAAAAGGCGGCTCTCCATCTCTTCCTCAGAACAATCAAAGAAGAGGACAAATTCTGGAAGAAGTCCAGTCTGCAAATGATAAATGCAAGAGTACCTTATAACTTTGCTGCTGGGTAACATTGATGCAAATTTAAACATTTAAATATCCAAGAAAACTTACAACATGTTCAAAAGCTTCGCGATTTTCTTCGTTGCGAGGGAAGCCATCAATAAGAAACTTGTCGTTCTTATTCTCGTGGATTGCGCGTTGGAGGAGAGCAATTGTTACTTCAGAAGGTACAATCTTTCCCTCTTTGATCATGTTCTGAATCATTGTACTATTAGGTAAAAAAAGCATTCAGTTAAAATTCAGAATTCTAAAATGGCATAATTGCCATAAGGACAACTCCTATTGAATTATACACATTCATCTTCACCTCAGTGATCTCCCGTTCATATTATAACTTCTTGGTTACAGGAAAACAGTTTGTAGAAAAAGTACTCCTAGGGAAATATTTTCTAGAAACATAAGTTCTATGCATACTATAGTCTATAATGTTTAAACAACAAAAATATGAAAAATAAAACTACTACAAGAAAATGATTTCATCTTTTCAAAAGAGGAAGTCATTTTCCGCAGATGTTCTAAGAACAAAGGGAAGTGTTTTCCGATGCCACAAACACAAAATTGACAAAAATGAGAAAATGTTTTCCTAGAAACAAACAGAGCCTTAATGTTATCTCTTTTAAATATTCATTTGTGTTAAGAACATCTATTTTTGACATTCTTTGGTTATTTCATTCTCTTGAATTCTTTAAGCCAAAAACCCAAAAAAATTTAAATACTCATTATCATTTTTTCACATAAGTACACTGGGTAGTGGGTATGGAGGTCAAATTAGTCAAAGTTACTAGTCTTTGGTGTCAACTCAGATGTATAGATGGCAATATTACCCATTTTCCGATCCGGACTTGATCTCTGCACGAAGGAGATCTCCTGCACTTAGATGGGTGTACCCGAAATGCTCAACTATTTTCGCACATTGTGTGCCCTTGCCACTTCCAGGGCCACCTGCAAAGTAAAAGAGCAGAAATTACTAAACCTGGAGTACAAATACTAATGTAGAGAAACTACCATTAATTAACAAATACTTTGGAGTTGATTATTCACAATCTGTTGCCATTAACTAAAACAACAATCCAATTCATAATATTTGATTTGCCAAATGGGGGAGTATGGGATGTGAAACTCGTTATTAGAATTCGCAAAACACAATGTTAATCTTATTGCCGTTATTGGTACTTGTGAATTGTGAATATCTTAAGGTGATGATGATGATGAACAGCTTATGTAAAACCCACGTACTCACCTAATACAAACACAACCTTAACCTTTTTATCAACCGTGCTGCTTCCATTTGCTCCCTGCAATAAAACCTAATTTATCAAACAATATTCAAGACAAATAAGCACATTTTAATCCACGCCGTGCCCATAACTACGACAAATTTCCGGTGCCTTCAAATTTATGTCATGTGTACAATTTTCAATTATTTATGATTTATCACCAATCCGTACAAACACAAGCCCATACTCTATTAGTTTTGGAATCAATCAATGACTTCCAAGTACTGCTGGATACATTGGCAGTGGGTGGGGGTGGGAGGAATGGAGATGTGGTGCAATAATATTGAGCTTGCAGAAAATTTCCAAGGTACCTTGTTTGAAGAATCAAGGACGATCCCCATCAATGGCAAAAAAAACTAGTGTTTTGGGGCCTTGGGGGAGTAATCTGCATTCACAGATTTAAAATAAATACACTTCATCGATCTTTCTTTACAAGAAGTAAAAATATGTAACTAAGCACATCTATGATAATATGTTGAAACTTGAAACATATAAGGGAGGAAAAAATAAGAAAGAAAAATGCCAAAAGAAGATCCAAAAAATGACTAACACTAAATTACTATAATATAAGAACATAAAATAAGCAAGAAATTAATATTTTAGATCAATTAGGAATTCATATCAGTCATTCTTGATTTTGTCTAGTCATAGGTCCACAAACTTGTAAAGCTTGAGTCCCATTTTTCCCTTCCATTTCAAATTCTACCATATTTTCTTCGAGCAATAAATTACTACGTACTGTTTAAAATTTCAGCACTAGCTAAATAGCAAAGAAATATCCTCAAAGTTAAAAACTAATAACAAAAGAGCTTAGATGGTGCATCTAAAATCAAGAATTATGACATCCACAGCTTCTTAATTTAAGTTCATCTTAGTGTAAAATAAATAAAAAATAAATAAAAACCCAATATATGAAAAACTAAACATTAACTACCATTATTAAGGAAATAATAATTTCCAAAAGGTGAATAAATTCAACAAGGTGTCAACAAGTGCCCTAAGGCAGATATAGAATAGATCTGGCGCCATTGTCATATAACAAGCATTACCCCACTAATAAGTTCAAATATCATGAATATCAAGTCTGAATGAAAAGAAAGACTGCATTTTAACAGTAAACACGTGAAGCAAACAAGGTGTGGTGCACATTTCAACACCATATGTTACGGATACGACCAGCCCACCAGATGAGGCCCTCACAATACCAGATGTCAAGGCCCAAGCGAGTAATAATCAGGCCCAGAAGGTTACAACATTAAGTCACACCCATGCAACCAAGTTCCTATTTCCAGCCATGTCATACTCCACTTTACCCACTATTTCCATGTTTTACTTTCTGCAAGTTATTTTCAGTTTTCATCTCATCGTTTGAGAATAAAGAGATACAAGAAAATTGCCCAAAATTCTTGTCTTCTTCCTTGATTTCTTGGGAGCTTTGCCTACTTTAAAAGGCTATATCAATTTGGTGTTTTCATTCTCGTCCTCATGCCGCCCCGTAAGGCCTCAACTACTATGGATGACCTCTTGCAGGCCCTAAACGAGAAGATGGAACAACTCATTGCTGCTACGACCTCATCCGTCACAGTCTCACAGAAAACCTTGCAAAATCCACAGAAAAATCTCCATACAAAGATGAATTCCTAAACTGATACCACAGCTAACTTGGTCAATCACATAGCCACTCTATCCGTCCAATTACCCTCAACTGTTTCGGACTCATCCCACTCCTTGGGGTCCTCACGGCATATCAATTCACCGCCACCACCCCCACCTCCGCCTACCACCCCTCAGACCACCCAAAATCTCCCTTCCACTGTTCGATGGGTCCAATCCTCTTGATTGGATATTCCAAGCCGAGAATTACTTCACTTACTACTAAATACCGGTGGATCAATGCCTCGCCCTGAGTTGGTTTAAGCACTTGTCTAATAATAACCTGCTGTGAACATGGCCTACTTTTTAACTGGAGCTCGAATTGCAGTTCGGCCCATCCACATATGAGAACCATGAAGCAACCCTCTTCAAGCTCCGTCAAACCTCTACCATTATCGCCTATTAATCGGAATTTGAGAAAATGAGCAATTGTGTTAATGGTCTATCTCAACAAGCGTTGAAAAACTGCTTCATCTCAGGGTTATGTCAAGATATTCAAACTGAATTGACTATCTTAAAACCCACTACTCTGCACCAAGCTTACGCCCTAGCACGCCTTGTTGAGGAGAAATTGGCACAGTCAGTTAAGCACTTAAGCCAAAGTATTTCCCTAATCCTAAACCCACTACTCTGCTCCAAAACCCAATTATCTCATCACCCAATGCTCCAGTTCAACTTCCATCATCGCCCCCTGCCGCCTCAAATACTCCCATCTTACCCTCACCACCCAAACCTTCACAATCCTTTCCTTTTACTAAGCTACCAGCCACGGCTCTCCAAAAAACATTGTAAAGCGGGTCTATGCTTTCGTTGCCCGGAGAAGTACTCTCCTGGTCATCGATGCTCCCCTCCTTAGTGTTTACTCATCGTTGACAATGACGATCGAGGTGAACCTCGGGATCACATCCCCGCTGAAGAAACCACTCCAGAATTTCTATCTCTACACACTCAGGCTCACAGGTCACATCCGATGCCAACCGATTACTGTTTTGGTCGATTGCGGGAGCATTCACAACATACTTCAGCCCCGAATTGCCTCTAGTCCCAACCTTGCAATAGAACCAATTCAACCCTTCTCCATATGGTGGGGAACGGGCAACACATTACCTTTCATGGCTTCTGTCTGGTGGTCCAAGTACAACTCAAAAAATCTCAGTTCACAATTCCATTCTTTATTTTACCTGTGGAAGGAGCAAATGTCATACTCGGGGTCGCTTGGTTGGGCACTCTCAGTCCGCTCACAGCCGACTTTTTCAATTCTTGAAATCTCCTTCACGGCTTCACCAAGGATGGTCCAGAATGCAAATTGACAGGGAAACCGCTTGCCCGACAGGTTTCTCCAAGTTCCATGTCCACCCTCATCCGTCATGAATCCATTTCTTCCCTGCACACTATGAGATTTCAATTCCACTCTATGAATCCATCTCCCCAAACCCATCTTCTTACCCATGCTGATAACCACATCCACACTCTCCTACAAAAGTTTGCCACCTTGTTTAATGAACCGAAAACCTTGCCACCACATCGACCACATGATCATCACATCCCTCTTTTAAATGACTCCCAACCAAAAAACATGAGACCATACTGTTACCCACACTTTCTGAACCAGATTATGACAGATTTGATTTCAGAAATGCTTCAACGGGGGGTCATTCGTCCTAGCCAAAGCCCTTTCTCCTCTCCGGTTTTGTTGGTTAAAAAAAGGATGGACCGTGGAGGTTTTGTGTGGATTACCAGGCCTTAAACGCAGCAACTGATATTCACAAGACGTCTTTTCATACCATCGATGGCCATTATGGATTCGTTGTCATGCCGGTTGGACTAACAAATGCCCCATCAACTTTCCAACCAGCCATGAATGATCTGTTTCGCCCCACTCTCCAAAGTTTTTTCTTGGTTTTTTTGACGACACACTGATTTACAGTGCCACTGAGGGGCAACATTACCACCATCTACAGTATGTATTTGAACTCTCGGTTAAAAATCAATATCAGGCAAAACCCTCCAAATGTGTGTTTGCGGACTGCAGTGGCGATCTATCATTCCTATGTCATCGGAATTCCGGGAAAGGCATAGCTCCTGAACCAGACAAGATAACTGATATACACACATGGCCTATTCCCTCCTCATTCACCACACACAGGGCCTTTCTCCGCCTAACCGGTTATTACAGGCGCTTTGTGCATCAGTATGCCAACATTGCTCTTGGGAGTGTTTGCCTACTTTAAAAGGCTATATCACCATATCTGTGAATCCTGCGACGCAGATGGGAAGAAATGGAGCAGTGACTGACATCCAAATTATATTTATATCATCATCAATGCACATGGCTTAAGAATTCCACCCAAAAGCATTCCCTAGCTAAATAAACCGAAGATCCAAACATCTGGAACCAGATAACGCGAAAATGGAGAAGAAGAAGAATCACCTTACCATTTGGATCAAATCTATTATAAAAACACGAAAAAGTTCGAGAATCGAACCTTGTGATTTGTGGATGAATAAACAGACAAATGCGAGCAAAAACAATCAATGAAATCAAGAAGATCACAGACGACGTGAGAAAAGTATAGACAAAGACGCGGGATGGAAATAGATTTACCAGGAAGAAAAGAATGGGCGAGAGAATAGAGGGAAATGGAGATCCAGGAGAAAGACATTAGTGTGTGAGCCAAATGCGCCGTGTTTTTTTACCCCTCCTTTTAAGTTTTTACAATTACGGAGTACTCCTTTGCACACACAAAAAAATTAGGTTTCTTTGGAAACTAGAAAATGTGAAATATTTGCACTAAAATAGCACTAAAACTTAAGTCATTTCTTCAAATAACACTTAAATTCTTTTATTCCTTAAATAGCACTTAATAATGTCCCTAATGTCTAGTGATGTCGAATATTTACTTGAATAATGACTAATGCATAATGACTAAAAGTGATAGTGTATTATAAAACTAACACTAATCATGTAGATTAATGTTGATTAAATGAGATTAGAAGCTTTGTTTTTCTGCAGTGAACATTTTCTTTGATGCTGGTCAATTTTTTTAAACCTAGCCACTTAAATCTTTTCAAATCCAGTATCATTTGGAACAAAGGGAGTAATTTTTAACTATTTTAGTCCATTTTTTAAAATTAATTATTGGCATTGAAACAATCTCTGGACTTCTAGAATCCTAACAAATCCTTAAAATAAAATACATTAAAATCTATCAAAGTTCATGTAGAATTAAAACAATCTATTAGAGGTGAACATGTACCATACCGTTACCGAAAATTCCCGGATTACCCGTAGCGAATTTTACCGAATCGAAAAATCCCAAAAAAATCCCGAACCGTACCGAACAGATTTTCCCTATCGAACTACTGTAGCAACTAGCAAATATATATATATATATATATATATATATATATATATATATATATATATATAAGTCCAGCCCACTGGTCCAGCCAAATTTGGGAATGGGAATGGCCTAATTTTTTAAATATTATATGTATACATATATTGAAGTCCAGTCCAGCCAAAGCCCAAAACTCCCTAGTAGCCCTCCTATTTGCTATTTCCGTTCCAGATTGAAAGGGGAACTGTGGAAAAGTGCCAAACTCTCAAACCCAAGCAGCAGCACGAACGGAAGTCGCCGAGAGAGAGGCCAGAAGGAAGTTGCGGAGAGAGAGACGCCGTCGCCCGCCAGACGCCACCTCGCCGGAAATTCTCCAGCCTCCAGGTGCCAGAGTCCAGGTACGGAGGTAAAAAAAATACTAATTTCAGAATTTCTTTAAGAATTTTATATTTTGTTATCTGTAAATATGAAAAATATTTAATCTTTATAAATTTATGGTATGAATTTTTGTTGTGAATTTGACAATTTGTTATATGAATTTGTCATGTGAAAATCTGAAATTCTTTTAATTTAGAAATATGAAGATCTGTTTTTTTTTTTTTTTGGAAATTTAAAGTTTGTACTGGCTACATTTTTTCTTTATAATTTTGTACTGGCTCCATTTTAGATAGCCTCTGCTCCATTTTTTCTTTATAAATTTGTATTGGCTACTGCTTATTTGTCATGAATGGGCAGAATTATGGCTATGCCATATTTATGATTTCCACCCATTTTTTTGCTACTGTAATTGGTATTTTGTTTTTGGGAAAAGTAGGCTTTCCTTTACAAATCCTTGTTTTTTTTAAAAAAATAGTCTTTGTTTAAAATGATTGTTTAAAGAGAACCATAATTTATGCTATCAAATACTCCGTAGAAGAGAAGAAACTTGTCACCACAATGTTTTCGTGGGGCCTCAATAATGTAACAGAACATTTCCTTTGGCTAGTTCTCTCTCTACAGTGCTTATTTTTGCCTTTTTTGAAGCTACTGCTTTTGTAATGCTACTTGTGCTTTTGTAATGCTTTTTTTTAATCTTTTGTACTACTGCTACTGCTATTTACATTTACAAGTGCATGGACCTTTTTTTTATCTCTTTTAATCTTTTTTTTAGGACCGGCCTTGCAAACGGGTCTTCAAGGGCATGGACCTCAAAAGAAATGTGTTGATAACAAGTGCATTGCCGTATGTTAATAACGTGCCTCATCTTGGAAATATCATTGGCTCAGTTCTGAGTGCAGATGTATATTCCCGATACTCTCGTTTGAGGGGATATAATGTGCTCTTTGTGTGCGGAACCGATGAATATGGAACCACCACTGAAATAAGGGCTTCGCAGGAGAATCTCACTCCCAAGGAGATATGCGACAAATATCATGCACTTCATAAGAAAATATATGATTGGTTTGATATCAGCTTCGACGAATTTGGGCGCACCTCTACAGACCAACACACCCAAATCTGCCACCATGTTTTCAATCAACTCTACGATAATCACTTCTTAGCTGAGCAGACAATCGACCAGCTTTATTGTGGCAATTGTAGCAAGTTCTTGGCTGATAGCCTTGTTGAAGGCCAATGTCCTAATCCGCAATGCTCTCATCCTTGTAAAGGGGATCAATGTGAGAAGTGTGGTGCTTTTATTAAGGCCAGAGAACTTGTGAACCCTATCTGCAAGATTTGCCACAATCCAGGTCCATCCTTTCGAACGACCAATCATCTCTTTCTTCAGCTCCCTGCACTTAAAGAGGAGTTGTGTGCAGTTGTTCGTAGGTTTGTAATTTCAAGTCAAGAAGCTGTTGCTACAACTTGGAAACTGATTGATGGTGATGGTGATGATAAACCTCTTGAGCCGAAGTGCATTACCCGAGATTTGAAGTGGGGTGTTCCTGTTCCTCTCAAAACTTTTAGTGACAAGGTATTGTATGTTTGGTTTGATGCCCCTCTTGGGTATGTGTCAATCACCAAGTGCCACACATCTGACTGGGAGTTCTGGTGGAAAAACCCAGACAAAGTCGAATTGCATCAATTTATGGGTAAAGATAATGTCCCATTCCACACTGTTCTTTTCCCATCTATGTTGATTGGCACTCAAGAAAATTGGACTCTTCCTACCTCTATACACGCAACACAGTTTTTACTCTATGGAACAGATAAATTCTCTAAGAGCAATGGTGTTGGTGTTTTTGGTGATGACGTCGAAGCTTCGGGCATTCCTGTAGAAGTGTGGAGATATTACTTGATAAGCATTCGACCCGAGGTATCTGACACCATGTTTTCCTGGGATGACTTGCAAGCGAAACTAAACCACGAGTTGGCAGATAATGTGGGCAATCTTATCAATCGTGTATTGACTTTTATTGCTAAACCACCTGGGAAGGGTTACGATTCTGTTATTCCTGATCTTCTGGAAGCTGAGATAGAGGAGGTAGATCTGAGTTTAAGTTCAAAGATTGATGTCTTTGTTCATGAATATTTGGAGGCTATGGAAAAGGGTAAATAGAAGAAGGGTCTAGAAGTTGCAATGAAGATTTCACAGGCGGGAAACCAATACTTTCAGGGAAATAAAGTTTGGGAACTGTATAAAGAAAACAGTCTGAGATGTGGTGTTGTTGTCAAGACGTTAGCAGGAGTCGTTGGCATTCTTGCATACTTGCTTGAACCATTCATGCCATCATTCACTATAGAGGTGTTGAAACAGTTAGACTTACCAATGGCTGAAATTTCATCACTTTTGGATGAAAGAGGTGAGATTCAGAAGCCCTGGAACGTCATACTGGCGGGGCATCGAATTGGAACCCCAAGGCCACTTTTTAAAAAACTGAAAGATGAAGAGGTTGAAGCACTGAAAAAGAGATTTTCGGGAAATCAAAGCGATAGGGGTGCAAACACTGCTTCAGATGCTACTGCTAGGAACATCACTAAGGCTGGGAAGAGCAAACTTGAGGTGGATCCTGTTGCATGCTAAGGAATGAAGGTATACTCCAGTTCATATGTGATGTGTTATCTATTCGCTTTGCAACTATAATTTTGATGTTATATAATACATGGTAACAATTATAAGTTTGTTACACAAGGAGAAAGTTGTTAGTTTCATTACTAGAATCTTCATAAAAAGGCAATCATCCGGTTTTTATTCTCTTTAGTTGCTTCATTTTGTCAATTATTCCTTGATTTTTGCTAGAATATGATTAACTTGCTTGAATATTGTTAGTGTGAATATCGTTACTATAACTTCCTGTTTTGTATATACATGGCTTGTACGTAGCATTTTTTTAATCATAAAATAAAATTTTGGAAATGAAGATTTGAGATGAAGAACAAACCCAACACGAGAATTTGTATGCCCGGGATTTGTGATGATCCATTTTCTTGATCCCAAAACTACTAATGCTTGCATATCCTTGTTTGGAAGCATGATGATGGCGTCAAAGTTGAAGCTTTTAATCTTTTATGAACAAAACATATTTGTTTTGGTTAGCAACAGCAGAGATGAAGTGTTGAATTTGCAGTTTGAGGTCATTGTTCTGAGTTCCGACTATGCTATTTCACACTTAGCTTCTTTGATATTATAAATTTATGCTATGTGACTATTGTTGAAGGTCTACTTTCGTGCCCTCTCCCCAGACTCTATTCTTGTGGGATTCTAATGGGTTGTTTTTGTTGCGACTATTGTTGAAGGTATGGAGTATCAGAGCTGAAGACACGCGGGAGACCAGACGATGAGATGAGTCCCATTATTATGCATACTTGTCAGTATGGGCTTTAAGGTTTTTTTATTATTATAGAACAACAACACACTGCAGTTACACCATATTTGTTGCACAACAATAGTCTTAAGTTTTGCATGCCAAGTAATTAAACCATTTTTCCAGTTTATTACAATATAGTAGGCTAAAATCCACCATTGGTCCTTCAACTTTTGAGTTGGGCACGATTGGTCTTTCAAGTTTCAAAAATCTATAAATAGTCTTTCAAGTATTCAATAGCCTTCAAATTAAATACAGTCCTTCATGTTTTAAAAGTCCATCAGTAGTTCTTCAAGCATGCATCAATGCTCCAAATGTAATTCTTTTTACGGGACACGTTAAAAGTTAAACAGAGTACTAGCTCCATATATATAACTTCCGACCTGCAATGCAATGGGTGCCAGATGCAACTAGCTCCACATATATAACTATCTCCATATATATAACTCCTGCCTCGGTGCCAGATGCAACTTTTGACCTGCAATGAGTGCCCGCCGCACTGAGTCTTTTCCTTCCATTGTAAATGATTTTACTTTCAAAGGAGTTCAATTTGTATATTAAAGAACACAACTTTGATTAGAATTATAGAAACCCGTTAATTCCATATACGTAAAAAAACAATCACCTACATTTATGTACAAGTACTCCGTATTACATATAAATGAAGTTAGTATGTTTATCTTTTAATGTGTATTGTAAAAGAACTATATTTGGAGGATTGATGAATACTTGAAGGACTATTTATGGACTTCTAAAACTTGAAAGACTGCATGTGGAAGGTTGATAATGCTTGAAGGATTATTTATGGACTTTTAAAATTTGAAGAATCAATTATAGGGGTGGGTTCGGTTTTGGCGGTTCGGTTTTCACCCAAAACCAAAGACAAAACGGAAGGTTAAATAGCGGTTTGGTTTGGTTCGGTTTTGCATAAAAAATATGTAAATCATTGGTTATTCGGTTCGGTTTGATGCGGTTTTTATTTCGGTTTTTTTCGGTTTTTAAAAATAAAAATTTATAAGCATTAAAAATTGTAAAAATACTAACCCGATGAAGGAATAACAATATGTAAGGTTTGGGTTTGGTTTTTTGACTTGATTTTTAAACAAAACAAAACAAAAAAACGGAAGGTTGGTGTTCCGTTCGGTTCAATTTTACAAAAAAATATGTGTCGAGTGTCAAACAAAAATCTAGGAGATTTCAAATACTTCTAAAGACATCGTATGTATATATACAGAGAATTTGCATTTTTTGGTATAATACTTTCACTTCCATTATAACATCAAAGGTTTTTACGTAAATGTGTAAATTACTCGTATCAATGTTTAATGTTAATATAGTTCTATATTAGAATTAGTTATTGTTGTTTATATTCTTAGATTTTTTTAAAGTTTATAATATGGTTTAAAATGTTTAATTAATAGTTAAAAAATAACTTTAATCGACTAGTCAACTATTTGCATTAATATTGCTATGGTTTTTTTTACATATCATATATACTCATATAAATAAAGTGAAGTACCTAAGAAAGTTTGGTTTATTCGGTTCGGTTCGGTTTTCCAAAGTGAAAACCAAAACGGAAACCAAACAATAACGGTTCGGTTCAGTTTTTTTACATTCGGTTTCGGTTTCTTCGGTTCGGTTTCTTTTCTAGCTCGTTTCGATTGGTTTTGGTTCGGTTTGCGGTTTCGGTTTTCCCAGTCCAGCCCTAATCAATTATGTACAAATCATAAAGTTGAAGGACTAATCGTGGATTTTAGCCCAATATAATATTATGCTAATTGGTGTGACTATTGCCAATTGCCAAAGAGAACTAAAGCTCAAATTGGGAATGATTTTCTCATTACAAATGGTATGGTTTGTTATCAGTAGGTTTCTTTAAAGTGAAGAGCTTCCTGTTTTCTTTTAACTTTCACTTCTTATTGAATTTGGTGTCTTTTTTGCTATCTGTTTGTTGGCTTATAAACTGCATAATCAGTTTTATGCCTTGGAATCATGTTTTTTAGTAGTTTAATTATTAGTACAACACTCTAAATTCTTGTGCACCAATTTAAGAAACTGAGATAAGTACTTATTATGTGTGAAAACAGTGCAACTATAGTAGTATTGGCTTACCTTATGAAAAAGAAGGGTATAAGCTTACCCCAAGCTTTGGAACATGTAAGAAGTCAAAGGCTTTGTTTGAAAACAGTGTTTTCGATTAGTGTTAGCGTTTTGAATAAAATTTTAAAGGTGTAGATTAATTCTGAAAATGCTAATGCTAAAGGCTACCGTTGGATAACCTTTTCAAAATGCTAATGCTAATCTATAATGTTGATGTGAAATGGGGCTAAAGGCGTGTGCAAGAGCATTTTGTAGCATCTAACATGCACAAGCAAGAACATGTACCAATTTGTAAGAAGTTGTTTCTTTATAGTTTCTACCCCTTTTGTGAGTGAAGTGATTGATAGATTGGACTTTGTTATAATACATCCAAAAGTGATCTATGGAGAGACGATTGATCCCAATGGTTTGGATTCATGATTGCATACGTAAAAACGTTTAATTCTTAATGAAGGATCATGTTTTTCCTATGTGCTTTGAGGATTTGATATGAACAAAATTTCTGACCCTGCAACATGGGAGAAAATAAAGATTTTAAAAAACCAATTTGGTGCTCTAAAATAGAAACCTCACGTGCCCCAACCCAATCATAAACTACCTGAGTCATGGCTTCGGTGTCGATTCCCTCCNGTTCCAATACAAATTGATATAAATACACCTAATTAATTTTTTAAAATGAAACAACCATTTTAGCTTTAAAATTCATTTACAAAACGCTTGTTAATATCGTTAAATTCATCTTCAAAAAAAACTTAAAACTCGAATAAAAATACAATGTACACGTAATAAAATTTGAATTAATTTTTTAAATAATATTATTATTTAATGAAGAAATATAAAATAATATTGTGGAGTATTGCCACATGTTCATATTTTAAAATTTTAAGCATTTCAACAAAAATATTGTGAAGTATTCAACTAGTTTGTTTTTTTAGTTAAATTAGATCAAACTTTAATCATTAATTAAACAAAAAATACAACAACTAAATTTCACAAAACAAATGTTTGGAAAGCTTATATGTAGACAGACTTTATCCTTATTCGAAAGTAGAAAATCAATTTCCAAGAGACCACGGCCCAAAAACAATCATATGCTCAAACAAAATAAACTAACAAAGTAAACACAATAGCACCAATTAAACAAAAACAAACTTGCATATTAACACAACGATAGTTTTTTTCGAAAGTACGATGAAATTTACATTTACTTGATAATCAAAGTTACCTCACTTTGTCTCAAAAAGTAGACCCGACGAATACTCTGACACAAAGGTAATATTTGTAACTTCGCACACTAGTTTTGGTTCCTCTACAGTCTAGCAGAAGAATTGTTATTCAGAATTTCCAAACATAATTTCATTTATTTGGTCAATGCTGATATCAGAGATCGGGTCAATGGGACACTCGTCGTCTCCATCATCGCCTGTAAAAGCACGGCTCGCCAATGGTTCTCTGCTGAATTCATCTGCAACATAGGACCACATAACCTGTTTATGAAATCCACTATACCACAGTAACCAAAAATACATACATACAAGTAAAAGCATATAAAATCACAGACCTCCCTACAAATCCAAGGCAAGACTCAAACATTAACAACTCGTTTGGTATACGGAAATGAATAAATGAGAAATTGAGTGGGAAAGGAATATGCGGGGATGAAAGGGTTTCATATCCCAAAGATTAGGTCTCGTTTGGTGGGCGCAGGAGATATATAAGTGTGTGTTTTGAAGTCTAAACAAGGTTCGGATTTGATATATCCTAATATCAAAACTCTTTTCGAATGTTTGGTGAAGTCTTAAACAGGATAAGGATTTGATGTCTTCTGATATCACAAACCCTCCCAAATGGGATCTTTTGATACCATACGGTTTTGGGAGATATCAATTGGGTGTTCAGAAACAATCATCATTTCAGATATCTTCTAACACTTACATTTAACATTTTAGATTTTTGGAACCCAAAGGTCTACTAAGGTCTACACAGCTCTTTCTAACTCTTCATAGAACTACCTCTATCCCTTCTCGTCCCCACTACCGCAAGCGTCTTGCATCTTTCCTAACTAAAATGTTTAAAGATAGAAATTTACCAAACATGGTGGTGAAAGAAGTTGGAGGAGGGGTGGCCATGAAGTTGAGACCAATGTAAAATGTAATGGCTAGAACTACGGTCATCATCACATAGGCTGGCACAGCCAATGCCCAATACCTGCAAAGGATGAAGCATGGATGCTAATAAACATGCTTTTACAGTTAATTGAAAGATATCACTCTTAATTCACGGTGGACAAATGCTTACTTTATTTTCTCTTTTAAGGAGTTAAGACAAATATTTCCATCCTCTACAAACATACATCCATGTTTCTAAACCCAATATTTTCCCTTTTAGACTATTTAGACATCTCGGGCTCAACAGCTCAACCAAATAGTCCTTACCACATAGATTCTTAATGTTTGCAGGGTATCATTTACGCACTAAATGACACTTCAACACCATAATTTTTCGTCATTGACCCCAAAGTAAATACGAATAAGGTGTTCTTTCAAAAAAAAATAAGGCAAATAGTTGATGATGATAATGATTGCCTTCCCTTAATGGCCAAGGTAATTAAGGTACCCATAGGCCTGAGACATTTCGCCAAACCTTTTGTTAACTGAAGTACGAAAATGCATGTTGTGCATAAATAGAGAGAATTGCTGACATCCCAAACATCATCGAGTTTCAATCATATTCACCTGCTTGGATAGTAAAAGATCCCTATTGAATGCAACCATTTCTCTGGCACATATGCCCACACAAAAAAGATGACTGTGCAAAGGAAATAATAAAGTAGATCAGATAACAAGCAAAAAATCAAATGAGTTTGTCCAGAGAGGAATGCCATTATAATTGCCATTAAAGTTCCTGAATCTCATAATCACCATTGCCACATATGACAAATCTTGGAAATTGCCAAAGACAATATATATTATATAAAAATAACCACAAAGAAAAAAGGAAAAATATATGTAAGGGTAAGAGGCTAAGAGTAAAACAATAAACATATACATAGATCACCCATTCAATGCCTCAAATAATCAAATTCCTTATTTGAATGATTTTCACACATTTTCAAGTGAATTAGGAGTATAGCAATTACATGGTGGCCAGTCACAAGATTAAGTGTCTAATTGATAAATCAAATATTGATTCTCTTATAACACATCCACAATATTCCTAAAAACACACATTCCAAAACTCACCTTTGACCAGATGACAGTATGTTAGTGAATGCGCAGAGGAAGCAATATGTGCAGATCACAACCAAGGCACAAAAGGAAGAGGAACAGAAACGAACCTGTGGCAACGACGGTCGAAATAGACCCAACAAATCCATAAACTTCAGAAGGATTGGGTCCATGATCCCCAGGAATAGCAACTTCTGAAGCCTTTTCGTTTGAATCTGGGAAGACAACAGTCGCCTTCCTATTTTTCGTAAAATTGAGGATCCTCCGAGGACTATCGACGGAATGAGGATCTTCCATCGTCACTGTATCTTCGAGCAATCCATGCCAATGGAATAAACCTATACAATTGGGACGATTGGACGAATCCAATGTGTCCCAAGGTTTAGTTAAGTTGAGTGAAAACAATTTTCCATTCTTCATTCTCTTCTCCCTACCGGCCTTCCACCTACCCGAATCACCCTTATCAGGGGTCGAAACACCACCCGACAGAAGAAATAAAAGAAAATACTCCACTTTTTTTAAGACCTCCACAACCCAGTCTTGATTAGATACATGAATCCAAAAATCCAGTGTCATACCCAATAGAATGCATCATTAAATAAGATACAGATCTCAAAATAAAAACCAATGGTTTTACTTAGGCTTCTCTTATCCACAACATTTGTGATTAGTTTAACCTTTTGAGGAGTAACCGTTCTCTTAAAGATGAAGATTAACTTTGGAAACACTAAAAGTTATCATTAGATAGAATTTTCAATTGCTGAAGGTAATGTGAAACGGAGCCTTCACAATGTAATGAATTTCAAGAATTTCTACTTCATTAAACAGTTTACGGAGTAATAAATTTCAGAATATTAAACAAACAAAAAAAGGGGAATACCCGCGAAGAATTGTTTCCGGTGAATAGAAATAAATTTCTGAAAATTTCACAGCAAACTTGTAGGGATCGCTGAACCAATTCAGTTGTTCAAAAGAGATGAAAAAAATGGAAGAAATCCGACCTGGAGGCTGGAGAATCGATGAGAAACTTTTGGGGAATCCGGTGAAGTAATCGTCTTCTTCTCCACTCTCTTTCCTCAGTTTCGCGCCAGTGCAGAAGGCAAATTATATCCTACAACAGGCTGTACGGGAAAAACCGTACAGCCAAATTAGCACAGATGCTATCGGATTGGATCCGGCGAGGGCTCTCCGATCGCCGTCAGCCGTGCTCCGTTTGATTCCCTCGCTCAATCGAAGAACAGTCCTTCGTTCTCCCTAAGCCCCCCAGTCTCGGTCTCTCAATTCAATTAAAACCACTTTTTCAGGCTTTGGTATTCTTTATTTAGAAATCGCCCTAAATAGATATGAATAAAACATATAGAAAAGCTGTATTTTGAAAACTCTCATTCACATTATTCAAAAAAAATACATTATAAAAGTGATATTACAACCAAATAATACAATATTCAAAAAAAATTCTTCCTTTTTGTAAAAGGAGAAAATTTTATCACTCATAATAAAAAGGGAGGAATATTACAACCAAATAAACTAAAACCCCAAACTATTATTTGCACCCAAATAAAATAGACTCAAGCACATCCCATTAGAAAGAGTTCTACACAATCATCCAAAATCTTTTATGAGATTGTTTTAAAAATGAAGACAGTTTGTTTGTCTCTTACTATTGAACACAGCTTCAAAAGTAAGATTATTTACAATCAACACATTTTGCATATTATGATCTAGAAAATCATATGAGACATCATATCTGACAAAAGCAGTAACTCTATACATGCAATAACAAACCCAGTAAAATCCCACAAAAGTAGAGTCTGGAAGCTAGGTAGATGTATGCACACCTTGCCTCTATTATGAAATCAACACCCCTATGATGAAGTAGAGACGATGTTATAACTCTATACATATGATACATAAATGCACTTGATCAATATGGGCGATTCATCGAGCCCACGATATAGATTCAACCTCATCCCTTGCTTTCTTGTACAGTTCGAGCCTCTTCGCGCTTTGTTTTCTTCTCTCCATCAATGAGGGGTCTTCGTCTAGCATTTCTCCTAGTCTCTCGCCCTGCCACGTTTTTGATGTTTGAATATGAAAAACGTATGCAAATCTAATAGACTAGAGCCAGTTTTAGAGGGTGTTTGGGACTGATTTTGAAAATGTAGAGTAATTCTCATCTTTTGCTTGGATTCAGTTTGTGCACCTATGAGATGCTTCTAAGTTCTATTGGAAAAAAAATCACTATTCATAAAAATTAAGCAACACCCAAACGCCCTCTAAGTGGGGACCGAAATATGTTCGAATTTCGGTAAAGAAACTGACCAATCCATAAATGTCTACCAAACGGCACTGACTCGTTCAATCACGGATAACAATATTTGAATGCCAAATCATATAAAGAAATGGTATAGAGCAACTGACCTCTTTCTTCCCAATCTGTATGTAGAAGTGGTTTAGCAAAGACTGTTTGGCCTCTTTAACTTGGCAGCACACCACGGCTTTAGGAATAGTGTTCCTGAGTGTGTTAGATACCATGTTAACGTAAGATGACACGTTTGACCCTATCCTCCTGAAATGTCCCTCGGAATACCAGTCTACTGCTGCTTCACTAGTAGTGGGGGACGGGTTTCCAGGTTTCTCCATTTCTTGTGGAAGCTTCCGGAAGAAATCCACTGTTAGGTATGAAGCTTCCATTTCCACTAGTCTAACAACTGTCTTCTTGCTTTCCTCTCTGAACTTTTCTAAAGCTTCATTTGAAGCTGCAACTATTGCTGATTGCAGACTGGGAAACCTCTTCAACTCCTATTTCATTAGAACCAATTAATTAGGATTGTAAAATAGACATCACGTAAAAGGAGATGACTAGGAAAAAATGTCTTTCTTATCAAACAAAATATTTACCTCACATTCTACCATTGACTTCCTTACGAGTTCCTTCAGGACCATGTGAACCTGATATTTAGAGCTCATGAATACATGGTACATATATATGTTTTATACAAAAAAAGAAGGTAAGGCTAACACTCCCACCGTCCCAATTTTTTATGCCCACTTTGACTGGACATGAGCATTAATTAAGTGAAATTGTGATACTTTAATTAATGCCCACTTTGACTAGGCACGAGCACAAACAAGATATATTATGAACCAATTAGAGTTTGGTCTGTGTGTAGTTTGTGGGCCACCCACCAATCAATGGTTACAGCAAGCCCCCATTTTTGCAATGTTTCGGTCCACTTTTTCACTCACGTAATTGTCCAACCCATCTTTAGCTAATGGGTTGTAACGTAAACCATATAGTATATTTTTGGGTTGGTTTAGACTCAACTTTACACAATAAACTACAACTTGATACGGAGTACTTACTGCATCCACAGAAGCTTCAGCTGGTCCTGTGAAATAATTTAAAGCTCCCTCGATGAGACGTCTATAACCTTGCTCAGGCGCAATCAAATGTGGTTGGTAACCATCTGCCTCCGATACAACTTTCCTTACATTCTGTATAGATAGGTGGCGATCGAACGGAAGTTTTCTCAAAGCAGCAGGAAGTTGATGGTCAAATACCCTGTAGATTAAATCCCCGCCTGGTCGGCTTGTGTAAACAACAAATTTTAAACATTAATCAATAATGAATTCAAATCATCTAGCAAGTCAAAGCATGGGTGCATAATGAATAGTGGTTTTGAAGCCTAGTTCATTGTGTGTGTGGAGTAAGGGGAGGGCTTTGGATTGCATACCCTCCATCAAGATGCTCCTTAAATATCTTGTCAAAAGCACGGCAAAGTTCCAAGATAGTGTACAGTTGAGCCTGATTTTTTTCATAAAAAAACCATTCATTCACAAGACAGCTAATGATACTCCACAATCCATATGTTCCAGAAAAGAGTTGAGTGATGCTTACGTGGTCCCAAAGACCACATTTAAAATGTGGATCTTCTCACATTTTTCATGGGCTTACATAATTACATGTGGATATTTTTATTTTACAAAAGGCCCATTTCTTTTATGCTACAAATGCACTAAGGTCCATAAAATGAGTATGGACCTTAGGTCCACAAAAGAATTTGCCAAATGAGTTACTCCGCATTTTATATTTATATATATATATATATATATATATATATATAACAATTAAATTTGGTATAGTACTACCCCTTTAAGTCATCCATCATTCTTGGTATATTTTTTAACTTGTTAGTTAGTCAAACAAAATTTAGCATAACTAAATTATTTGGAACACTGCCTGTTTTTTGGAAAGATTACATAAAATTTAATGAAAACTCACTAGTCACTTCTTTGGTTGAAACCGGATTCATTTTTTGGAGATAAAATTATTTTTGAAACATGACACTTTTTCAGGGACAGTATATTATACTATTATAGTGTGTGACAATGGCAAAGGAGAGAAGAGAAACTCACCCCAGCATCAGATGCAATAGGCCTTCCAAGGTGGTCCAACTCTGATTCAAGTTCCTCAATGCTTTTATTGATTAAAGAAGTGATACTTGGTATTCTTGCCCTTATTACAGACTCCAAGTGCTGAAATTAAGATATTATACTTCATTTATATAAGGTTATCATATCCCTTTTACACTTTGTGCCATGTGTGGGAGTTTATAGAGATGGAAGAACATATACTCTTGAGAGAAGCTTTGCCAGATACTCTGAACCCATTTTACTGGCAAGGTGGCCATAGTCAGGGCTTGTTGCAAAATATTCACGCTCCCTTCTTCGTGCCGCAATCATGTCCACGTTTTTGTTTATATCAGCTTGTGAACGGTTAACTATACCCACCCAAGGATGTTGCAACCGGTAAGATCTTCCTTCTAGAACCTTAGAAATGAGAAAAATATCGATGGCGTGAGGGTACCCACAGTGAGAGCAAACTAGGGAGGGTATTATACCTAATGAGTAATGACCCCAACAATATGCACTTGGAAATGTAAGTGGAATATTGGGGATGGGGCTATGGAAGTAAAAGGAAGGTGATAGCATTTATCATCATATCCACCTCTTATCCTCAACGCCTCAAGCCACAATATAAAGATTGGAGGGAAAATTATTAACATTGGGGGATATTATCCCACCAGAAAGAGTGTTTAGATAGATATATGAATGTTGAAAAGATATTATAAGAATGGGATAATCAATGATAGAGAGAGAGCTTACATCCAATGCATTAGTTCCTTTGTCCATCAAGTCTAACTTTGTTAGGACGCCAAAGGTCCGCTCACCTGCAAGATTCATCAAATAAAGATTATGCAGAAACATGGACAAGGCTTGTGAAATATTAATTAGAAAAATCAAACCATAATTCAGAGAGGTACACGATTGTACAAAGTGTTGTATAAGATGTCTGGTGCCTTTCCAATGGTATGCCACTCTTAGACCTTATTTGGTTGGAGGGAAAGGGATCAATGTAGAGAAGTGTTGTGTTTGGTGGGGGAGTTTAGTAGGGAAGGAGAAGTAAAGGAACTACACACACACACTGACACACTCCCCCAAACTCTTCATCTCCTCCATCCTCCCCCAAATTTGAGATACTCCAGAGTTATACTTTTTACTAACTTTTTGGCATTTTCTTCTTACTCATGCTTGTTCTAAATTTTTGCCACATATGTTGCTGCATTTTTTATTAGAACAAAGTTATATCAAATATAATATTGTGTTCATCTTGTGTAGGCATTTCGTCCCAACTGCTAAGCCATAGATTATTTATCAAGAACATTAATAGAAAATATATACCTGAAGGGTCCACTTCTCTTGAAAGTTTAATTGCATCTGATGTGGCAATATCCTGATTAGCTGGAGATATAGCAAGTATGATGCTGTTGGGCTACAAACAAGGATTCGGAACATATAATGAGTCAAAACCCCAGAAATGACACAAAGTTAAGGAACTTATATCCATGCAAGACTATACATTAATACAAATGAATCAATGATCAATGGAAACCATAAAAGTACAAAGAAAACACAGATTGTAGAACAATGGAGTAACTTTTTTATAATTTAAAAGAATTAGAATTCAATGCCGGTAAAAAAAGAATGATCTGAGATGACCTTCCCCACATAGGACCGGACCATGTCTTCAATGTCTTGGACTACACTTTCAGGTTGCCCCTCTGCAATTGCACAGTTATGATTTATAGTGGAAAAATTTGAAGTCAAATCATAAGATTCACAAGAATTAAGCTGTTGTCAAGATTTAGAGCATACCAACAGCAACTTTTGTCAAACCAGGCAAATCAATTAGGGTGAGGTTGACAACTGTGAAAGCAAACCAGCAACAAGTTTAGGGATAAAGCTAAATTGAGTTGCCAAGAAAGAAAGGAACCCCATCTGGCGAGGAAACTCAAGCAAACATGCATTCTTCATTCTTTGGATCTCTTCTTTTTTACTTCCAAACTAAGAAAAGAATGGGAATTGTACCGTAGGGGGAGTAGATGCTGAGGTGGATAGGAACCGGAGATATTTGTTTAGTTTTCCCAGTGATTCTGTCAGTTTCATCCTGAATTTCATTGCGAACAAGGGCTGAAAGCAAAGCATGTATGTCAAAATTGAATGTTTGGTTCTGAAGACAAACTCATAAATGTTATAAAGCCAACAAGCAGCAACATCTACACCATATACATTTATGCATACACATCTTTTCTAAGAGAATGTGATTAAACTTGAAAGCTCTCGACTCGGTGCTTTTGAGTTTTCACACAGTGGACAAAAATTTGGCAAGTTTATAAATAACAATGTTCATAGAAATAAAATTTGGCAAGATTAAATAGGTAGTGAGTGTTTCAAAAAAAATCAAGGAGTATATTATATATAAAAGTAAAAGTATGAGATTTAGATAAATAAGACAAGAGAGAGTACATCACATACAGAAGTCTGTGAATCTCCTTTGCGGCAAATGAGCAAATTCAGCATATTCCTCCTGTCCCTCATCAGTCTTATGCAGCTGCAGCACCAATGGCCGTCTTGTAACAATCCCTAAAAAACCAAAACAAGCAAAAATCAATAGTATAAAGTACAGAGGCCTCCCATGGAAAAATACACACTCCGTGTATAGCTAGAACGTGATCAAAAGACCTCACCAGATCCTCGAGGAAGAAAATCCCTCCCAACAAAGCTTTCCAACACAGATGATTTTCCAGAGCTCTGAATTTCCGACAGGAGAAAAAAAGATAATCATCACCATTAAAAAAAACAGACACAAACACGAAATTAATTGCAGAGAAATATCGGGCACAAACACTAAATTAGGGAGAGAAACATGCAGTAAGATCAAATTGCTTCGGATCATCTGGCTTGATAAAAACCAAAAGCATATGAAATGTCGAAATAGAGGGGGGAACTGGAAGTTGAGGGTTGGATTTTGGCTGACCTGGCCACCGACGACGGCGACGGAGGGAAGAGCATCCCAAAGAGAGGAGAAAGCGTCGCCGGTGTTGCCGTCACCGCCGTAGTCGCCGAGATCAGTACAAGCTCTCTGGATTCGATTGACCAGTCCTATCAAACTCTCCATAGCTCAGTTTTGACCGCGCGAGAAGGAAACGAAAGGTGAGGAGAAAGCGGGAGACGCGACGGCCAGAGGCGGCGAGACTTCGTTATTAATAATGGATGGATGAAATGGCGGGCGGAGGGAAATTACGTTTTTTTGGACGGTGTGCTCAAATAGTCAAATGTGATTCTAGATACAAAAGTTGTCTCGTTCGATATTAAGGCCAAATAGCTCCTTTTTAAAAAAAAAATGAATACCCATACTCTCTCTCTTTTTTAAAATCAAAACTTAGTTTTAAAATTTCTATAGTTTCAAAACGTTACACTCACACCGTCATACCCACTTCGATCATTTTTTGGGTCTTTTCCCGTGAAGAGGAGATATTTGTCCCTATTTTCTAAACTATAGGATGCTTAAGTGCCCATTTCTTATTTTTCGTTTAATACTTTGTTTTTTTCTTTTTTTTTATAACTTTTTTTATCTCTTGGTTCCTTTTCAAAAGGATTTTTTTAAATTTCTTTTAAAATTTTTATAATGTTTTTAAATATTCAAAACTCTTTGTGTTTGAAATAAAAATAAAAAAATTAAGATATACCCCATCTATTTTAAATTAAATATTTTAACTTTTCGTTTTCTAGAATAATGTTTTTATTAAGTTCAAAAAGAAAATAAAAAGAATAAAAATAAAAATATGGGAAAAATGGAAAATATTGAAACATCTAAAAAAGAGTCTTATACAAAAAAAGCTGAACACCTAACTCCTTAGAATTGGGATGTCGGAGACGGAGAGGGTAAAGTTTTTTCAAAATCCTGTGTAAAATTAAAAAAAAAAAAAAGTTACTCCCTATTAAACAATATCTAAATCCGAATACAAGAGATATTTTCCATATTTGATTAAAGATATTTGATTTGTAAAAGGATTCAATAATCTTATATCGAATATAGATGTACATTCATTTGTTAAATATGGCAAATATATTACTCTTATTGTTTAGAATATTTGGTTATCTTGTTTGCCTAGAGTTTACCTCTTCTCCGTGTATGTATAAATATCCTGACATATGATGAATAAAGTACTCAATTTACATCGTCTATTTTGGTTTATGATATTTGACTTAAATTATTTTTCAAATTATTTTATATGAAAAATGGTGTAGAAATAAAAAATAAAAATTACATATTTAAAAATTACATCAAAAGATTTACTAAATGAGTGATGAAATAAATATATTATTTTATCAAATGACTAACAAAATAAAAAAGAAAGTGAATAAAATTTGACCATGTAAACACTCATAGTAAACAGACAAATTAATTTGAGACGAAGGGAGTATATGTCATCTGCATTGTGATTAAAATGGTAGTGTTATATAACTAATTAAATAGAAACAAAAGTTAATAGAATAAAAATAGTGAAATAGTGATGTCTCAAAATCTGAAGTAGTCTAAAGATTGATGTAATTTTTTTGAAAGTCTGAAGAAAGGTTTGAAATAATTAAATGTTGACGTGGCAAAGTATGATAACTCAAAATGCCTCTTTTGGCATAAAATTTAAGGGTGAGTAAGCATCGAAACGATCTCGAAATTTCTCAAAAAAATTGAGATTGCCAAACCAAAAAATACGGAATCAACAAAATATCGAAGAAGAATTGTACCGTACCGAACCGAATGATAAGTCTAGTATTTGGGAACAGGACGAGGTAACTTCTCATACCGAAAAATCTCAAACCGAACATATATACAAATACTCCGTATGTTATACTCCCTCAGTCCTAATTTTTAGTGCATGTTTCGGTTTACAATGTTTGACTGGAATTATTATCAAATAATTTTATATAACAAATAGTATAGAGTTAAAAGATAAAAATTACATATTAAAATACAACATCAAACAATCTACAAAACTAGTAGTGACAATAGTACTTTAGTTTATCAAATTGCTAACAAAAACAGAGAAAAAAAATATTGTTTTTATATTTCTTCATTAAAAAATGAACTGATTTTGAAAAGTTAATTCAAGTGTAGATGAATTACTAATAATCTTTTCTTTAAATAATTATTTATTTTCATTTTTTTTGTAGATGAAAATAAAAAAAATTAACATTTGAAATACGAAGTATAAAATAAATTTAGTTCGAAGTATAAAATAAATTAAGTTTTATAAATATTTCTTCCATTTAATTATTCATTATTCAATTGTTTATCTTTCTTTATTTGAATGTACTCTCTATTTTTTTCAAGTAAAAAGTTTTGAACATTTCAATGTGTAAACTAGGTACGCACATATATATTTAAACCGGACCATCCCAAACCATACCAAATCGATGCATTTCACGAGTGGTTTACTTCTTAATTCACGTGCATGGTTTCATTATTTTTTTTAGAAAAATGCCTCATACCCATTCGGTCTCTTTAATACTCCTTCGGTTTCACGCTTTTATTTAAAAAAAATAATTAATGATCAGGTAATTATTGAAGAGGCTTGAAATGTGTTAAACTACTACACACTTTTTTAGCTTACTAGTATCACACTCGTGCCTTGCACGATTCATATTTGTGTTACTAAATTAATATCATTTTTGAATGATAAAAAAAATTCTTAGATTCTCACCAGTAATATTTTGACTCTCAACAGTAAAAAAGCACTATATTCTTTCAAATTTTCTTTGAAAGTGTGTATATTCAAATATCTGATCTGTGCATGCATTCGATCTCCCTAACAATGAAAAGGAAAAAAGTATATATTACCATGTAATATGAAAGTGGTAAAAAAGCACTATATTCTTTCAAATTTTCTTTCAAAATATTCTTTTTTAAAAATTCATTTATTTATGTAAAATTAAAAACTGCTTCTTTGACCATGATAGATAAGGTTTGATCCATATTTTTTCATATATAATAAAAATTATATGAGCGGGGAAAAAAATAATACAATCAATATCATTCATTGATTCTGATTAATAAAATATATATATCCATTTAGTTATAATCCATACTTAATACAAATAAGTTTATTTTAATTTGTCATTTTAATATATTAAATTTTTATATTATTTATCTACTCCATATTTATGTACATATTAAAAAAATTATGTAAAAAAATTATACATTTAGAGGATTACTTATGCTATTTATGTACAATTTATTTATGTTATAAAATGCTTTCCATCAATAAGGTCCCTATTATTGTATTTATGGTAATTTAAATCGTAATTATGTTATTTATTCATGCTTCCATTTATTTATTTAGGATTAAAAAAATCTTTCCATATATAATATAAATTGCATTGGCGGGAAAATTGGTCAACATTTCCCCTCCTTTTAAATAAGTATAGATAGATTTATTCATGCTTCCATTTATTTAATTAGGATTAAAAAAATCTTTCCATATATAATATAAATTGCATGGGCGAGAAAATTGGTCAACATTTCCACTGCTTTTAAATAAGTATAGATACGGAATAATAAACTTCCCAACATGGGGTCTACATGACAAAAAACGCTTGAACCACTACACATGATCTTCATAACGCGCTTATTAATTAATTAGGACCAAACATGAGAAATTTGTTTAAATTTTCCATTAACTGTATTGGTTTCAACCTAAACTTTTGAGCAAAGGACCAAAAATAAAATATATATTGTCATTATTGAATGTTACCTTGTCAAAAAACATGAGGGGATGTATTATGATTGGATCATGATGAGACTTAACATAAGCGGGTAGATGTGAGTAAAATATGGGAATTATAGGACTTGAAAACTTGACCAATAGTTCACATATGAATATGAACCTTGTGGGTTCACATTGACCTTACATAAAACAAATAAATCATATATAGAGTAAATGCTTACGAATCACATAAGGCCCAAATTTACTTAGATGCATATAAGAATTGGAATGCTTGGAAACTCCACTTGGGGTACACCAAATGTACATCAAGGCAAAAATAGGCACACACAGACATTTAATATATGTGCATGCACATTGTGACTAGTTTTGCCTTGGTGTACATTTGGTGTACCTCAAGTGGAGTTGCCCTAGCACTCCCCATAAGAATTTACCCTCTTGTTGTGTAGTAAAACATGAAAGGCATGAAAGGGAGCATGTAATGATTATATACGGAGTACTATATTTTTTATATACGGAGTATATATAACCAATCCCCATAATTCTTATATTAAAAAAACATAATCACATATACCATATATGTATAAAAATTACAGAAGAGGAAACAGAAACCGATGGTGAAATGCTCTAACCTCTGCGCTGATATGTCACTGCAATATGCTCCAACTTTGACAATCTTGCACAACCGGACGCAATGCCCTTTTGGAAAAGAAGATTCGGTTTGGATGAAACAGTTAATCTTTTCTGTAAATCAGTGTAGGGTAGTCTGGATGCCACATATTGTGCTTCACATATTCCATTATTTGCTCCTGTAGAGAATGAAGAGGCACCAATGGTCCTTTGTGTCAAAGGTCTAGAATTTAACTCCCATTATATTTATCCATAATATGCATCTAAGAGGTATCAAGTATCTACTGTCTAAATTGTCTGCTTGGCCCATCTCAACCATTGGATTGATGAGGGACCCACGCAAGTGATCTCTTTCCCCCATTCTCCACCCAATTGGATGTTCATCAAATCACCGGTCACCAATATCCAAGCAAAGGATACGGTTCCCGGATCATAAATGTATGTGTGGCAGATCATATCTGCTATAAATCTAGTAGAAGCCCGTGTTTTTTGGTAGATAGTAGATACACTAGTTGTGCCGAACATACACTAAATAAACAAGACACTCAAACACCAGTTGGAACAAGTTGACCGGGGGGAAAGAATTGTCAACAAAAGAAAACCACTGCATACCGTGTTAAGTTGGTTTAACTCTTTTCCATCCATTCCACGTTGGTAACCTTCGGCAAGACCCTCATCAATTGCTTCCTTAATCACAGCAGCAGCTACCTCCTTCGTTATGTCACGTATTCTGCAAAAGATTGACAACAATAATGCATGAATATCACAAGAGAAACTGACAAGATAAAACAATACTCCACTATGCCATAACTAGTGGCAAACACTTTCTGAAATATATATACCTTGATATTGAAGGATATATTATGCCTTTCTGCACATCATCCTCTGTCATATACGAAGCTAGGCTGTAATTCAA